TAGATCGCATGGAGGTCGTAACAGAAGGGAGAAAACCGGATGTTGGCAAAATGGAGCAGGGTCCCTGCTTGGAGATAGGAATTGGAGACAGAGCTAGGAGTCAGGGAAGGCGCTCAGCAAAAAAATAAATGACAAACGAAGGCCGGTAAGCTTGTGCTTGCACTTCAGAATCTCTGTGGAAAAAAAAATCCGGTATTTGTACAGCTATGATTTTCGCAAATCTCAACATACCCATAACAAGTGCACCTTGCGCAGCCGAGCTGACTTTTAGTAAATGCTTCATTTGCATAAATGCAAGCACGCATAAAAAGCAGTGATTTAACAAATAACTGTTTCAGGATGAAGAAGGCTACGATTCATGTACATTCCGCGGGAATGCGCAATGAAATATGCAAACGGACGGTGTTCTCTGCAAATGTAAAGCATCCTGCTTCATGAAGAGAAGTGTGATAATGTACGACCACTCATGTGCACCTGGGAAGCCAGCTAAAACCGAACGGCGTACTTCACTGTTCATTTGATGTTGAGGAGCTCAACAGCGAAAAAATTGCTCTCTGTGCAGTCGAGCTTCATTCCATTCTGAATCGCAGAAAGGAAATACTATGAATCGTGAGTCAAGAACGAGTTGATCACACTGATGGTGTAGATGCAATTTATTCATTTTGCAAATCTAAGATAACGAAATAAAAATGAACACAGACATGCAGGCATACGCACAGAGCAACAGAAAGACTTAAAAAATGAAGCATTTTCTGCCAGTTTTAAGAACAGATATTAGGGTATTGTATAAGAAAAAGGCGTGTACAAACTAGGTAGCATCACTGTCACGATCTGACTACTGATCCAAGCCGTAGCTGAAGAAAATGAATTTGTTACCGATTTGGACCGATAATGCAGTTAGTTTTTAGGTGGATCATCTCGGAAAGAGCGGACGATGATTGCTACTGAATATAAACATTACGGGCACCGATAAATACCCACTCACAAAACAAAAAAAAAAAACTGAAAAAAAGCGCGCAAGGATTTTCAAAAAATCAACAAATCGCCGATAAATAAG